AAGGTCTAAAGTAAATTAGCTTATTCCCCACTTCTCTCAGAAATTTATATAAACTTACTATGTAATATCTGCATAATAAATAATAAAGGAACTGAGAAAAAGACCTCACTTAAAAAAAAAAAAAAAAAAAAAAATATAATCATGTAATATTAATTGCTTGTATCTTGCCATTCGCCAGGTCAATTTTGATGATTTTACCACCATTAAAATCGCAAACTTAGCTCTACAGCTTTTACTAAAACTCAAAAAAAAAGGTTATTTAGAAAAAAAAAGGTTTACTTTGAAGCAGCTACAGATTTCAATATTATTTACAAAAACATAATAATCTTAACTCCAGATTTTACTATAGTGCAAATCACTTACGAATTATTATTTAAAAAATTTATTAGCGTATTTACAAAAATAGTTGATGTTGTGATTATATATTCTAAATAAATATTATATAATGATGGTTGTTAAATACAATATTATTAAATAAAATATTGCAATTAATTTATTAATATACAGTATGTATATTTTTATATTTTTATATTGAAATAAAAAAATTATCTTTCTATTTATAAAACAAACAATTTTTTTATATAAAAATTATTAAAAAAATAAAAGAATTAATATGTATAAAATATGGTTAAGATCAAAGCACATAGTAATATAAAATAGCAAATTTAGTAGCAAATAAAAATACAAAAAAGATATATAGATTTGAAGTTGAAAAAAAATTGTCATTTCCTGTTTATACTTTATAGAATTTTGAGAGAGTAATATTGGTTTGGAATAGTGAAGATTAATATAGAGATCTGATTTGGAAGAATTTACTTGTATATTGCTTAGTTTGTAAAGTTTTAAAATATCATGTAGTAGATTTTGAAAGATTTCTTAGTTTTTATAATACTATACTACTGTAGTTAGAGTTAAAGTTATATTAAAAAAAATATTATATTTACTATATTTTTAATAAAAATTTTGGCTAATTTTTAATCTAGTATTTGTTAATAAAACTAAACTAAATATTAATATAAATTTATATTTTTATTAATTTTTTATTAAAAATTGCTATATATTACTACTATGAGTATAGTTTTTTATAAATTTAGAGTTAGTGTGTATTTTTTAGAGGTTTTTTTTTATAATATAATGTAAATTAGATATAAGATCCTGATTTTAGTTTTTGCAAGGTTTTTAAAAGTCCTGAATATTAGAATACTTAATCTTATTTACTTAGATTTTTAAGATATAGCAATACTAATGATAATCACTAGTGGTAATAAATAGCAAACTTTTTTTTATTTAATAAAATCTCTATAATTACAAATTGAATTTTGCTATTTATTACCACTGATGATTATCACCAGTAATACTATATCTCAAAAACGTACTAAGTAAACAGGATTGGGTATTCTAAGTAAAAATGTTCAGAACCCCCAAAAACCTTACAAAAACTAAAATCGGGACCTTATATTAGCTCTATATTATATTATATTAAAAAAATAATTCTCTAATTTCTAACCCTAACACTAACAAATCTTAGGACTGGTGATGACCACCACTGGTGATATGTAGTAATTTTCTAAAATAGAAACACAATATATAATAATATAATAATAATAAAATAATAATAAAATAATAATAAAATAATAATAAAATAATAATAATTAAATTAAGACACTGGCATATGATCTGAACTTCTGTAATCATAATCATAACGAGGATAATATCTATCATATGTGCAACAAATTATGAAACAGAATATTATAATGACTGCAACTGCAGCAATCCCACCAAAAACTAGACCAATAATTAGTCCCAAATTAGGGCTACTCACGTAAGTTGGCATGGATGTAAGTGAAGAACTTGGTGGATGTATTGATGGGGATGCTATATATGTTATAGATGTAGGTGGAGGATCATATGTGCTAACCCATTTATAATTATTTTTTTGACTTATATCGAGAAGATAAATATTACTGATGGGTTGGTAATCAACATATTCACCTAAATTTAAAAATATTTGGAAAAAAAAAGGTTGTAGCATGAATAATAAATTTTTTATAATTATTTTTGCTTACCAAATGCGACCAAAATATATTTATCAAATAATGTAGAGGTATGCCAAAAAAGGCCTGGCAAAATACCATTATTTGAAACCGTAGGAGTTGACCAAATCAATGTTGAAATATCCAAGGAGACTATTGGACCTTGTGGATAGCCGTCTATAATTAAAATCTGATTATGTTGAGCTAAATATGATCGTAGAAGTATAATAGTTAATAAAATTAATAATAAAAAATTTTAACGATTTTACATTAATATAAAAGTATACTATACGTATAAAAGTTGCTGTATGACCAGCCTGAGGAAGTGGAATTAGACCTGATGTAACCTAAAAAAAAAATAATTTAACAATTTGAGACTAAATAATACAGTATATAATTTAAAAAATAAAACTTACAATAGTTCTCCATGTACTATTATTGATGTTAAATGTTGGTATCTATTAAAGATGATTTAAAAGAAATTTTTAAATTTAGTATATAACTATTACTAAAAGTAAATCATAAAATTAAATTAAAACGAACCATTCCCATTGAACCAAAGATAGAAAAGTTACTATAAAACCTTCCACCAATATAAAAAATATCTCCATTCGGTAAAAGAGTTGCACTATATCTCACTAATGCAGCAGGCGCAGTATCATATGATAATGTTGATAATGTTAAACTTGAAGTATTTAAAACCAACATTTTGTTTTCTGCATTTCCGCTAAAGACATAAATTATATCTTCTGAAACAACACATTGATCGCCACTAATGACTAGTGATGTATTTCCTAAAATATTTGGTACAGTCCATTGTTGCGTCGAAATATCAAAATTTTCAATAAGACTGTTTGCTAATATATTCCCTCCAATAAAAAAAATAGAACTATTTTTGACATTACAAGCTGCACCAATAGCTCTTCTCGAACTTGTTAAAGAGGAGATATCAGTCCAAGGTATTGATGACGTATTATATACGTCAAAGGACTTTAAAGTATCTAGATAAAAAAAATCCGAAAAATATGTAGTCCCATCGGTTGTTCCACCTTGAAAATAAATCTTGTTATTAATAAGAACTGCTGTGTGTCCAAATCTTGCAGTTGGAGTAAAAGCAGTAATGACATAACTTGAATAAAGAATATAAAATAAGAAAATATTTATTTGTGAAGTAAATTTCATACTGCAAAAAAAATAAAAAAAGAAAAAAGTTCCAAAATTATAATTCATCATAGAACCTGAATTTATTACTGATTGCTGCGAAATAACGCGCAGTGAAGTAATTTCAAATTTTGGTATAAATTAAGCTTAATTCGGCCATAATCTAAATAACGCCCATGTGCATTATTTCGCGGTAGTACGGTAATTTTAAAATTCATTAACCATATATGATACATTGATCACTTGATTTTATTAATTTATCTATCGAGAAAAAAAATCAATGATGTTCAAAAAAGGAAATGATACAATATCTATTAACTTGAATTTGTTTTTATGCCTAATCTCAAGAAGTTAGGGAAAAAAATATCAGCTATTAAGTCAACTTGTGAAAATCTTTAGATTGATTTCTAAATAAGTGTCTAAAATAAGAAACTGACGTTAAACAGATATTGCTTAAAACAAAAATAGAAATTAGACAATGCATTGTTTTTACTTAGTAAGGAATATAGTGCGTCTTAGGTGATACGTATAAATAGTGTGTTGTCTATACATATGGAGATATCATTTGGATAATCTGACTTTACGTATTTATTGTTTTTCATTGGCGACTTACGTATAATTTAATTGTTGTTTTGTCGTGTAATCTGTGTTGTGGAAGAAAGGTTATTGAATTCCAAAAAAGGAAAAAGGAAAATTCTATTCAGAATATATTAAGAACGTACGTATGTACGTATGAACATAGAATATGGTTAATGGTGTATGCAATTCTCGGTGATCATTCCTCGTGATTTGAGATTTCTATATTCTTACGTTGCCACAATAAATATTTAACGCCAATGGGAAAAAAGCTACATAATAATTTATTGTGTTATTATTTCATTATTATTATTATTAATGGATTATATTTAAATTGGATAGAGCAGCTCAAACATTGAATGAGATCTTTATTTTGATCCGTAGTACACGTAGCAACTAAGCATTACAATTATTAGCAAATCACGGTAAGAATACTACTTGAGCGAATCTCAATATATATCAATCATTCTATTTGTTTTTATCTAAAGTTTCATGAGAATAACTAAAGTTGCATCATAATAGTTATGTACTATTTCGTGATGCCTCCAATAGGCTAAGTTAATTTATTGACTAACATAAAATCAACTACAATCGAAAATCTAGGATATGTTCTGGTGTAAATTATCGAATCTGATCTGGAGTAATGACTCCGGCATAGTTTTGATGTTTGTTCCACAGACGGTACATATCGATAAACAAATGGATAAATTGAAATAGCTCATTTTATTTGAATAAGTCAATTTGTGTATCACCATGTTAATACTACTATGTATACTAAACTGTTAAACTATTTATTCGCTAAAAATCAAGATAATTTCATTTTCTTAACTAATTCAGAATGATAGCACTGCCAAATGAATGCCTTTTTGAAATATTTAATAACCTCAAAAATTATTATAGATTTTTATTTTCATGTCTTCTTGTAAACCGCCAATGGTGTAGAATTGTTGTTTCATTATTGTGGAGTTATCCACTAACTTGTTGCAAAGATAAAAGACTTATAAGAATATATTTTTTATCATTGAATGAAGAAGAAAAGGCGTCATTAATTCCATTAAATATAGTACTTCCAAATGGTCCGAAACCATTATTTGAATACACATCTTATACTAAATCAATCAATTGCCACGTGTTAGAAAGAGGAATCGTAAACTGGTTTTGTCATGAAAGACAAGAGCACGGTAGTTTTAAAGAATATTCAAGTAAATCCCGAAATGAGGTTGAAACAGTTAAAGATTCATTAATTACAATGTTATTACGAACCAGTGAAAACATTGAGCATCTGGACATATCTAAAATTAATAACAGTAAAGCAGTAAAGATGTTATTAGAAACTCCTTATAAAAATTCGATTATTACGACTATTACATCATTAGAACTTTCTCAAATTGGACTTTGCTTTGAAGAAGTAAAGGCACTAGCAGATGTTTTATGTAAAAATAATTACATAATCTCATTAAAACTTTTTATGTGTTGGCTTGGTCCTGAAGAAGTGAAATTGCTATCAGAGGCACTTTGTGAGAATACAACTCTATACTCTCTGAATCTTTCCAGTAACAACCTTGGTAATGAAGGAACAAAAATATTTGAAGAAATTCTTTGCAAAAACGTCACTTTAACCTACTTAGATCTTAGTTCTAATCAGCTTAATTTTGAAAGTGAAAAAACACTTGTTAAAGCTCTTTATAAAAATACCTCTCTAACTTCATTAAATCTTCGTAATAATGAACTCGGCATTGAAGGAGGCAATGCATTTGCAAAAAATCTTTGCAAAAATGCTACTTTAACTTCCTTAGACCTTTATAACAATAAACTTGCTTTTGAAGGAATAAAAGCAATAGCAGAAGCTCTTTATAAAAATACTGTTTTAACTTCTTTGAATATTGGAAATAATAATATCGGTTACAAAGGAGTAAAAGCGATAGCAGAAGCACTTTACAAAAACATCACTATAACTAACCTAAATCTTTCTTATAATCAACTCGGTTTCGATGAAATCAAGGAGTTGGTAGAAGCTCTTTATAAAAATACTACTCTTTGCTCATTAGATCTTTTTGGTAATCAACTTGGTTCTAATGGAGTAAAGGTGTTAGCAGAAGCGCTTTGCAGAAATGTCAAGTTGACTTTTTTAAATCTTGGTAGAAATCAAATTACTTTTGATGGAATAAAAGCATTATCTGATGCACTTTGTAAAAATATTACTTTAAATAGTTTAGATCTTTCTAATAATCAACTTAATTTTGAGGGAGTTAAGGTATTAGCAGATGTTTTTTTGCAAAATACCACTTTAACTAATTTAAATATTTCTGATAATCAGCTTACATTCGAAGAAGGGCAAGTATTAGCAGATTCTCTTTGTAAAAACAATATTTTAACTTCTTTGGATCTTAGTCGTAATTATCTTGGTTATGAAGGAGTAAAAGCATTAATAGAAGCTTTATATAAAAACACAGCTTTAATTAATTTGAAAATTTATGATAATCAACTTAGCTATGATGAATATAGAATTTTAACAAAAATTCTTTACAAAAATAATACTATAATTTCATTGGATTTAAATAAATAATTTATAGTTATTTATCTTCTAGTTTAAAACAAAAATCATCTTATTATCATAATTGTTTGAATAAAATTATTATACAATCCTAAATTAAATTATAAAATTTAAGTTTTAAAGTTTATGTTTATTTAATGAAATAAATACATTTGTCTATGTATATTGAGCGAGTCAAGTATTCCACGAAAATCAGCCACTGTCGATTTCTGGAGAGCGAGCACCTACGAAATTAACTTTTACTATTGTCTTATACTCGTTCAATTATGTGGATAACAAATATAATTTACCCTATGAGAAAAGTGGTCCTAGTTGTGGCTCGGGTTGGTTTCGAGAATGCACGAAATGGTACGGGTGTGTGGCACGTAGTGGCTCATTTTACGTGATGGTACGGCTAAAAATGGCACAGACATTACGATAAAGTGGTCGTATTGAATGATACGTATATGCACGTCCCTCAAGAACGAATGGTTTTTATGAAAAAAAAAATGCAATATCTCAAAATTTCACTGATTAAATTGTTCTGGGTATCTTAACGAAAAATATTC